GAGACAGGTTGCTGGTGCCGGTGCTGGTGCTGGAGCTGGCTGTGGACATGGTGGAGACAGGTTGCTGGTGTGAGACACGTGCACTGGTAGGCAGCATGATGCTCCAGCGGTGCTGCCCGATCGCTCAGCTGCGTGGTGGTGCTGGGTGCTGGGCGCTGGTGCTGGTGCGGGTTCTGGTGGCGGTGCGGGTGCCGGGTGCGGCGCTGGGTGCAGGGCGCCGTGCGTGGTGGAGACAGGTTGCTGGTGCCGATGCTGGTACTGGGTGCTGGGCGCCGGTGCTGTGGTGGTGGAGACAGGTGGTGCCGGTGCTGGTGCATGGTGCTGGTGCTATGAGCTGTGGTGGAGACAGGTGCCAGGCCGGTGCCGGCGCTGGTGCTGTGAGGTGGCTGTGCACGGGGTGGAGACATGCTGGTGCTGGTGCTGGGTGGCGGTGGTGGTGATGGTGCTGCGAGCTGGCTGCAGATTTCGTGGCAGATGCAGGACTTTGTGGATGTGGAAGTGTAGAGTTGGTGGCAGGTGCAGGACTTTGTGGGCCTTGGAGTGCTTTCGTGGCAGGCGCAAGACTTTGTGGACCTTGAAGTGCAGATTTCGTGGCAGGTGCATTACTTTGTGGATGCTGAACTGCAGATAGATAAAAAGATAGAACGATAAATAGATCGATCGATCGATCGATTAGATAGATTAGATAGATAAGATAGATTAGATAGATAAGAAAGAAAGAAAGAACGAAAGAAAGAAAGAAGGAAAGAAAGACAGATAGATAGATAGATAGATAGACAGAACGATAAATGGATCGATAGATAGATAGATAGATAGAAGAGGCATATTTGCTTGGTTAGAAAGTTTTGCGCCGGGGATGAAGTGCAGATTTCGTGGCGCGGGGGGGGTTGGGGGGGGGGGGGGGGGGGGGCAGCGCCCTTCCAGCAGCACACCAGATCCAAAGGTGAGCAGCTCGTGCTTGCTTGCTTCCTTGCTTGCTTGCTTCCTTGTTTGGTTTCGTCTCTGCAACGCAAACAACAGGAAAAGCAAATGCAAACAGAGAAAGGAGAACAGCTGCCAAAAAGAAAGAAAGAAAGGTAGATAGATATAGACAGATAGATATAGATACAAATAGATGGATAGGCCAAAAAGCCAAAAGCCACAAAAGCCACGAAAGCCAAAAGCCACAGAAGCCACGAAAGCCAAAAGCCACAGAAGCCAGAAGCCAGAAGCCACGAAAAACAAAACAAAATCCAAAAAAAGGAAACAAAAAACGTTCCAAAATTAACTGGCCCTCCCTTTGCAAACAAGATGCCCATAAAGACGCACCTTCCCACAACCAACGCACTGAGACCGCAAGCATATCAGGAGTTTTGGCACAAGAACTATCCCATGCGGCAAGCCCGAGGTAGCGCAAACACACATCACAAGAACGCCTATCGAGCTCCAGTATCTAATCCAAACGCTAGTCAGCTATCCTCTTTGTCTTGGGAGCGTGAATCAGTTGGGCATCCACACAAAGGAAAGGCAGGAGTCTTCAAGTTCCAAACAATAACAAGAAACAAACTAAAACAAACTAACAAAATACCTCCGCCTGCACTTGGTCATCCTAAAGCCATCCTGCGCTATATTCCTCTTGCTGTCGGTTGCATCAAATGCATAGCATGTTGCCATACCCCTGGCCACATCATCCCTCTTCCATCCGAGCCACGAAGGCATTTCTTGGACTTTGCCTCTTCTGCAGCAGCGGCCTCTGTCAAAACGAAGCCGCTACTGTGGTGTCACTGCTGCTGTGGTGTAGCCACAGCACGCACAATAGCAATTAGTAGCAGCCCCCTCCCTCCCTCCTCTCCTCTCCTCTCCTCTCGTCTCGTCTCGTCTCCTCTCCTCTCCTCTCGTCTCGTCTCGTCTCGTCTCGTCTCCTCTCCTCTCCTCTCGTCTCGTCTCGTCTCGTCTCGTCTCGTCTCGTCTCCTC